TTTTTTCCCTCTTCTTTCTTATTCTAGTTGAGCTCTGATCATCCAGTCATTGAAGCCAGGTCAAGTGGGTATTATCTGCAAGTGTGGGTGTTCTTGTGCTTATGCCCTCTCTTCTTATCAGCTGCATGCTTCACTCTCCACTCTAGTCCTCTGTGGCTATGTCACTGACTCTGGACTAAAGAGAGCCCAGGTCTTGCCACATTGCTGGCCAACCAGGTTTCCACTTGGGTTCACAGGAGTCTATTGAACATTGTAGGGCTTAGCTTAACAATTTCATTACTGTTTTTCCCTCACTTCCCCTTATCGGTGATGAACGTAGTCGCCAATCAGAGTGTGTATTCCCACTGAGTCTTAGTCTTAGAAGGGGTTTTGCTCTGAGGGGACCTGACCACTTGCCTTGTTGTCTCCTGGGCCAAGCAACTTGTTTGTTCTTGTAGTAACATTTGGTCTGCCTATATTGTTTTGTATTTTTCCTGTAACTCTTTCAAGAAGTGTCTTCTGTTCTAGCCGCTCCAGATTGGTCTGCTTGTCCTTTCAAGTGGAAATTTCCCACCTCTGAAGATTCTGGATGTGGTTCAAGATTCCACCTATAGTCTAATGTGATGCAGAGGCTCCGCAGGAAGCTTCCTTCACTGGGCACATTGTAGCCCCATTTTAGGTATTCCAATCAGTTATAGGCAGAAGACGGACTTACAAGCTTTCTATGGTGATATTTCTGGCTACTCCTTTCTCTCCCCCTCCAGTGTCTATTTTATAATGTAATGCAAGGAAAACCAAGATTCAAAAGACAGCCATGCATCTTAACATTATTTCCCCCCTTTTCACTATTCCAACCATGTCAAAATCTCTGTGTCCCAGAGCTCTTTTGTTCTCAGGTTGTGCATACATCATTATTTACCTTTGTCTCACTTAGCCCATGCATACCTGCCTAATTGTTTTCCGGTCTGCTTTGTTCTTCCATTCCCCTTTCCTTTCTTATATATTGCTACCCTCCTGAGCACCCAAACTACCCTTTGTCTACTCCCTGCCCTGTGCTCCACCTTCTTGTCCCTCTCCAACCCCACCCACATCCCAGAAACCAGCAAAGAATCCACTCCCCTTTAGTATGGGTTCTTTTTCTTAGTCTTTTACAGTAGTGGTCTTGTACAATATTTCCCCTTTTGTGAATGACTAATTTCACTCAACATACTGTCCTCAAGGTTCATCCATGTTATGTGGTGGCTTGTAGCTTCCTTGTTATTCTTCATGGTAGCATAGTATTCCATTGTGTATATGTACCAAAGTTTGTTTATCCATTTGTCAGTTGATAGGCACTTTGGCTGTCTCCATCTTTTTGCTATTGTAAATAGTGCTCCTGTGAGCATTGGTGTGCATATATCTTCTCATGTTATGACTCCTATTTCTTGTGGATAAATACTAAGTAAAGGAATTGCTGAATCATAAGTTATTTCTATTTCCAACCTTCTGAGGAAGCACCAAATTGCTTTCCAGAGAGGTTGGACCATTTTGCAGTC